TTCCCTATATTGACTTGACGCTGACCCCCACGTCCACCATCACTGCTGCCGCGGTCTCTTAGTTCTTGAGCAGTTCGTTCGGCGACAAGTAGTAGGTTAACGGGCATCTTGCTCATGTTGGTCTCTGGCGTGGCCTCCACGTAGGCGAGACACACTCTGCGTTTGCTCGCAGGCAATGAAAGAATAAACACGCACTGCTATCGAAGCCACCTCACTAGCCATATCTCCTTCAGGTTACGGGACGCCCATGCATTCCAGCTCACGACGCTTGTGCTGTAGATCTTCGACATAGTCCATCACGCCTTCACTCTGCCGTAGGCGGCGTGCGTACATGTCATGCTTGGAGGGGGCAACGGCCGAGGCGAGCTTCCAGACTCAACCTACTTCACAGTAGAAATACCCCGCTAATTATGGTAAGGAACCAGCTAAAAGAAAATATTGCCTTACAATAACTCTGACAACGACGAAAGTATAATCATAATAAGTTGAGGAATATTGCCTCGATACCTGACCCAACCGACGAATGAAGCAAATCAAACACTGAAAATGCAGAGTGTAACTCTAGTTGATCGATACGAAACGAAATCGAACAGCATACTCATAATCTATAACACGACAATTTCTTAAATATTGGAACCTACGCATTCAGACAGTTTTTTCCGGCGGATAGCGCGTGTTCAGCAGCGATTTTTGTGGATACGACGATCCGCAGGATCAAAACATCCTGCGGAAAACGCAATCCGGCGTAATAAATCAGTGTATACGATGAACAGGACTAAACTTAAATGTAAAGTGGCTGGGAAAATGGACGTTTTCAACTTTCTAGTGGGCTAATTTGACTAGAAAATGTATTTTGCAGACACCATCTACAATCCTCCACAAGAGCTATGATTCCTTGTATGACCCAGGTGGCGGCACAAACGTGATATCTAAATGCTTCAAAAGCTGTAAAGCGCGCAGCTAACATATTCTCAAAACAAATCTAAAATTAATAAATCTCTTTCGATTTTGTTTTTGCAAATAGTGATTTGCAATTGCTTTATTTATTATTAGCTTTGGCTGATATCCTGTCAAAAAGACATCATGGTATGGCTGTAACTATGCCACACATAAGCGTGCCGAGTAGACGGGTCTTCGTCCCCTCGCTTCGGAGTGCTTGAGCAAAAGCTGTTTTGAACGAGCAGCTTTTCGCGACTCATGTTTACTTACTAAATTACAAGAGGGTGTTGCAGCCTTTCATTATTACGTTGATTAGAGATCAAACCGTTTGGCCAACATCGCCTTCCTTATTTGTGGAAAACACACAGGGAGATGCGAATCTTGCTCTCGGCTTTTAGTATGACGCGACTTCGCATTAGTACATTTAGGAATCACTATATGCCCGGTATTATTTTTCAGATTCAAGGGAATACGATATAGTCGTGCACCTCGTATTCGGCGGGGTGGACTATAAGAAGTCTACGAGCTGGAAATATTTATAGAGGAACAGATGGAATCCAAATGTACTACTTCGTCTTACCTTAATTAAGTACAAATCTCAAATCCATCTTCGACACAATACCAGTGTGATTCCAACAGTTTCGTATGGTCATTGTCGATACGTCTTGCCAACCTTCTGAGCGCCACTTCATCGCTGTATAAATATTGACGGGGGTATACTTCTCGCCTTTGTAAAACATGTCCAGCTCGGCCTCCTGCCTCTTAGCACGGTAGTGGCCCTTGAGACTTTTAATAAT